GCAAGTTGATCAGCTGAAATGGGCACACTTTTGGAGTAGGTGAAAGTAGACAAGTTGGACGTCGTGAGTGGGATGTGGGAGAGATGCGGGCACCAAAACAGAGAAGAGATAGCGCACCAGTTGAGCAGAAGATTGGTCAAGCGATGGACTTGGCTAGAATACAATTTGTAGACTCTACAAGCCGCATAATCTGATGAAGGAGTGATGGTGAATTCTGCCACAATCGCTGCTCCATTTCACTCGCACAACTTCTTCTCGTTCGAAGTGGACGATGCCAGTCTCCAGCTCGCATCGGTCCCAGCAGCACGCCGGTGGTATCGAGTCCGGCCAGTGCAATGTACCATTTCGACATGCTCGCCTCACGCCAGCCAATACCACTTGGTGACAAGCAGATAAAAATAGACTTGCGTTGTACTCTAGTCTGTCTGTCTGTGCGTGTATGTGTTAGCGTCTGTACGCAAGTAAAGTGGCCTGGCGTCAATTGACAACTCGTACCAAACCGAATTAAGCGCTATTCGAATTCATTTCAATCGCGATCTGTTTGCAATTGTTGCGTTGATTTGCTTTTGCAATAACATACTTTTGGTTAGTAAATTCAATTATAAGGAGACTTTCATATCGTGTCAATCATACAAACCATTCTATATGCATCGATATGGAAATAATTCATCGTCATGTGTAAGTATAGCAGATCGCTTAAGGTGATTTGTGGATGGACAATTAAAAGGAAAACTCGTGTCAAATTAGACTAAAAAAGAGAATATTCTCGTTTTACGACTCGATTATTTTGCAATAGAGCTCGTTGAGACCGCACCTCGTCCAGAGTCCTCCAACACATTTGGACCATGGCCATTTCTCCGGCATCTTCTGTAGTACTTGCCATTCCTACCATTAAACCAGGCCTAGTCAAAGTGACAGGCAACAAAAGGTGGTTTGGTACTGACACCGTAAATGATCACTGATGATGCCGACTTCGATGCCGGCGTAACCCGTGCCAATGTACCAAATGCATACTGCAAAGATCTAAATAATTATGCCTTCTATGACATGGACTACTAACATGATTCTGGACAACATGTGTTCTACTCGATCTGGCTGGCAAAATGTGACTTTGTTGATAAATCGAGGTCAAACTAC